CTCGCACTCGCACACGCACACACTCGCACTCGCACACGCACACACTCGCACTCGCACACGCACACACTCGCACTCGCACACGCACACACTCGCACTCGCACACGCACACACTCGCACTCGCACACGCACACACTCGCACTCGCACACGCACACACTCGCACTCGCACACGCACACACTCGCACTCGCACACGCACACACTCGCACTCGCACACGCACACACTCGCACTCGCACACGCACACACTCGCACTCGCACACGCACACACTCGCACTCGCACACGCACACACTCGCACTCGCACACGCACACACTCGCACTCGCACACGCACACACTCGCACTCGCACACGCACACACTCGCACTCGCACACGCACACACTCGCACTCGCACACGCACACACTCGCACTCGCACACGCACACACTCGCACTCGCACACGCACACACTCGCACTCGCACACGCACACACTCGCACTCGCACACGCACACACTCGCACTCGCACACGCACACACTCGCACTCGCACACGCACACACTCGCACTCGCACACGCACACACTCGCACTCGCACACGCACACACTCGCACTCGCACACGCACACACTCGCACTCGCACACGCACACACTCGCACTCGCACACGCACACACTCGCACTCGCACACGCACACACTCGCACTCGCACACGCACACACTCGCACTCGCACACGCACACACTCGCACTCGCACACGCACACACTCGCACTCGCACACGCACACACTCGCACTCGCACACGCACACACTCGCACTCGCACACGCACACACTCGCACTCGCACACGCACACACTCGCACTCGCACACGCACACACTCGCACTCGCACACGCACACACTCGCACTCGCACACGCACACACTCGCACTCGCACACGCACACACTCGCACTCGCACACGCACACACACTCGCACACGCACACACACACTCGCACACGCACACACTCACACACGCACATGCACACACACACTCGCACACGCACGCACACACTCGCACACTCACACACGCACATGCACACACACACTCGCACACGCACACACACACACACACACACTCACACACACACACACTCACTCTCTCTCTCACACACACACACACTCACTCTCTCTCTCACACACACACACACTCACTCTCTCTCTCACACACACACACACTCACTCTCTCTCTCACACACACACACACTCACTCTCTCTCTCACACACACACACACTCACTCTCTCTCTCACACACACACACACTCACTCTCTCTCTCACACACACACACACTCACTCTCTCTCTCACACACACACACACTCACTCTCTCTCTCACACACACACACACTCACTCTCTCTCTCACACACACACACACTCACTCTCTCTCTCACACACACACACACTCACTCTCTCTCTCACACACACACACACTCACTCTCTCTCTCACACACACACACACTCACTCTCTCTCTCACACACACACACACTCACTCTCTCTCTCACACACACACACACTCACTCTCTCTCTCACACACACACACACTCACTCTCTCTCTCACACACACACACACTCACTCTCTCTCTCACACACACACACACTCACTCTCTCTCTCACACACACACACACTCACTCTCTCTCTCACACACACACACACTCACTCTCTCTCTCACACACACACACACTCACTCTCTCTCTCACACACACACACACTCACTCTCTCTCTCACACACACACACACTCACTCTCTCTCTCACACACACACACACTCACTCTCTCTCTCACACACACACACACTCACTCTCTCTCTCACACACACACACACTCACTCTCTCTCTCACACACACACACACTCACTCTCTCTCTCACACACACACACACTCACTCTCTCTCTCACACACACACACACTCACTCTCTCTCTCACACACACACACACTCACTCTCTCTCTCACACACACACACACTCACTCTCTCTCTCACACACACACACACTCACTCTCTCTCTCACACACACACACACTCACTCTCTCTCTCACACACACACACACTCACTCTCTCTCTCACACACACACACACTCACTCTCTCTCTCACACACACACACACTCACTCTCTCTCTCACACACACACACACTCACTCTCTCTCTCACACACACACACACTCACTCTCTCTCTCACACACACACACACTCACTCTCTCTCTCACACACACACACACTCACTCTCTCTCTCACACACACACACACTCACTCTCTCTCTCACACACACACACACTCACTCTCTCTCTCACACACACACACACTCACTCTCTCTCTCACACACACACACACTCACTCTCTCTCTCACACACACACACACTCACTCTCTCTCTCACACACACACACACTCACTCTCTCTCTCACACACACACACACTCACTCTCTCTCTCACACACACACACACTCACTCTCTCTCTCACACACACACACACTCACTCTCTCTCTCACACACACACACACTCACTCTCTCTCTCACACACACACACACTCACTCTCTCTCTCACACACACACACACTCACTCTCTCTCTCACACACACACACACTCACTCTCTCTCTCACACACACACACACTCACTCTCTCTCTCACACACACACACACTCACTCTCTCTCTCACACACACACACACTCACTCTCTCTCTCACACACACACACACTCACTCTCTCTCTCACACACACACACACTCACTCTCTCTCTCACACACACACACACTCACTCTCTCTCTCACACACACACACACTCACTCTCTCTCTCACACACACACACACTCACTCTCTCTCTCACACACACACACACTCACTCTCTCTCTCACACACACACACACTCACTCTCTCTCTCACACACACACACACTCACTCTCTCTCTCACACACACACACACTCACTCTCTCTCTCACACACACACACACTCACTCTCTCTCTCACACACACACACACTCACTCTCTCTCTCACACACACACACACTCACTCTCTCTCTCACACACACACACACTCACTCTCTCTCACACACACACACACTCACACACACGCACGCACACACTTGCACACGCACACACACATGCACACTCGCACTCACACGCACACTCACACACGCACACACACGCACGCACACACACACACTCGCACACACACACACACACACACACACACACACACACACACACACTCACACACACACTCACACTCACACGCTCTCGCTCACACGCTCTCACACTCACTCTCACACTCACTCTCAGACTCACTCTCAGACTCACTCTCAGACTCACTCTCAGACTCACTCTCACACACACTCACACACACTCGCACACGCACACACACACTCGCACACGCACACACACTCGCACACGCACACGCACACACACACGCACACACACACTCCCCTGCAGCTGCTGTTACTTGATCTGTAGGTTGTTGTGAAAGTCTTCTAAACTCAGAAATCTTAGGAGGAAAAAGTCAGAATTGTGAGGCATTAATTCAGAATTATGAAAAAAATATAACTGCAAGATGTGAAATCAGAATTATGAAAGGTAAACTCAAAATTGTTTGTAAATTGTCTAGGCAGGGCAGAAATGATTTTCCATGCTCTGTGACGTGTGTGTGTGTCTCAGGTACGGGTCACGTGGTGTATAACGGCTCTCTGTACTATAACAAGCACCGCAGTAACGTACTGGTGCGCTACGATCTGGCGTCGGGCGGCGTTCTGCAGCAGCGTCCGCTCGCTCAGGCCGGGTTCAGCAACACCTTCCCGTACTCCTGGGGCGGCTCGGCCGACGAGACGGGGCTGTGGGCTTCTCCAAGCTTCCTTCCTCATCTGCGGCTCGCTCTACGTCACCAACTCACACCTGGCCGGAGCTAAAGTGCACTTCACCCTCCACACGGCCTCGGCCTCGTACACCGACACCGACACCGCCTCCACAGCCAGTACTCGCACATCTGCATGCTGGACTACAGCCGCTCACTCTCACTACTCCTCTCGGTCTTCTTTGCTAGGGGGAATGTGGAAATAATTCCGTTTCTTTAAGGTCCGTTGTAAATGAATAAATCAGCTGTTGTGAATTGTACTTCTGTGTGCTCATGTCAATAAATCTCACAAGTAATAAATAAGTGTGTCAGCTGTTCTAATTTTTTGTATAGTATTTGTTCAGAGACTCTGGGAATTATTATGGTTACTGACGAAAAGAAATGGACAAATTGTGAAGCAAAAATCCACCAATATGAAACTATTAAGAGTTTTTTCTCTAAATGTTATTTCTACTTACTATATTTTATGTCATTATTATATTAATTAGAAATAATTGTACCTTTCATACATTTATTTGCTGTTCAGTGTTATTTTATTATGAATCAGATACTATTGTATTTTTATATATATTTTGAATTGGATGTTATTTTTGTATTTTCCATTTTCTAAAGGTTGAGTCGTGTTATTGTGTGGTTTTGTCATTTATTACATATTGTTTATTTATATTGTGTCATTATATTTTTTAAATGTATTTTTCAGTTTTAGTTTTGGTTATTTTAGTATGTCAAGTTAAACCGGATGAAAATGAGAAATGTTTTTTTTTTGCTTTGCAATTTTGTATATTTTCTTGTAATTGTAATTGCTTCTTGTGTTTATAGACGCTAGTGATGAGTTCAGAGAAACCAGACCTGCTTTTTTAAATACACATTCATTTAGATTAGTTGTTATCAACATGAATATAAAACATATTCACAATTAAGATAAAATATATTAGAACTTGGCATAAATATAGATTGATAAAATGTGTTAAAATACCCATGGATTTATTGGATTTTATGAATTGACATGACTTTTATAAGTCTAGAAATCACGCTATAATCTTAAAAGAAAAAAGTGGCGAAATATCTTGATTTTGTACTTGTTTCAGCTTATTTTGACGCTTGATTTGTCTTAATCACTTGGAGTCATCTTAAGTTTGCTGAGGTCCCCTGGTTCTGAAGCGTAAGCGTCAAACCTCCCCCTCCCGCACTGAGCATGCGCAGTCCGCGCTGACGTCGCCGCAGTGCATCACGGGAGTCGCAGTCTTTCGCTGCTTCCTGTTTTCTGACTGCGGGAGTGAGTTCTGTTCAGCTTCGCTGTTTGGAATCGAGAAAAACTTCATAACCAACAGCCTGTAAGTACTGAATTCAGCCTCACGTGTTCATTAAAGCGGTTTATAATCAGGTTAAAGTGTAAAAGCTGGTGTTAATGCTGATTATAGCGTGTGTTTGAAACTAACGAATATCTAAGGGAATATCTATCCATCTAGATCCATCTGGCTAGTTGTTTTATATCTGCTCATGTTCCCGTGACCGTGAGCAGTGTGCTGAGGTGTGAAGATGATCAGTGATGAATCCTCATGATCTGTCTGTCTGTAGATGTCTGTGTTCGAGTCGTCTGGCGCCTCCTGCAGGCCCATCACTGCAGTGGCCTGGGCGTCTAACAGCAGCGCCTGCCCTGGTCGCTTCACCCTGGTAACCATGACAACCACCCACACCTGCGGTCACATGGTCAGATCAGCATCTGCCTCTGGAGTGATGTCGTTAACCATGTGTGTGTGTGTGTGTGTGTGTGTGTGTGTGTGTGTGTGTTTAGATCGGTCAGACTGAGGATGGAGCCTCCGCTAACTTCATCCGAGGGTTTGCAATCAAGTCAGGATACTTCTTGTGTTACAGTAAGGTAAGACGCGAATTTAGGGTCGACTCACTCATGAGTGATTGTTCTGTCATCAATTGCTCACCCTCATATCGTTCCAAACCTGCATGCCTTTCTTTATTCAGTGAAACACTGAAGACAAGAGTAACACACAAAAACACGTTGACGCTTTAATGTCCGTCTCACCACACGTGTGACGTCTCCGCATGCTCCGCATGCTCTTCATTCCCGCCTGTCTCTTGCAGGATCTGTCCGGTGGGATGGTTGTGGTGGATGTGCAGGTGATTACGGATAAAGAGACGATTCCTCATGGTTACTGCTACATCCCAGAATTCCTGGAGCACAGTAAGAAAGTTCATTGACAGATGTGGGCCTTACAGCCTCCACAGATCTGTTTGTCTGTCTCTCCTGAAGTGTAATCACTGTGTGTGTGTGCGTGTGTTTGTACAGAGGCATCTGTCGGGAAGAAGAAGCGCATCTGTGTGCGGATCGCTCCCATGGCCAGTGTTACGACGGCTGTTCTAGATCTCAAACTGACAGCCAAGAATAAGACCATGGTGCAGCAGTACACCTGCCTGGGGTGAGAGACGCCTGCTCTAGAATCACACGCTCTATTCAACGGTTCTCATATCAGACACTATACTGTTCCAGAATCAACGGATCTCCTATCTGACGCTCTCTACGCTGATTCTGGAACCAGGCACTCTGGCTTTTGAATCAGATGCTCTATTGAGCGATTCTGGAATCAGACTTTTTGTACACTGGTTCTGGAATCAGACTTTTTGTATTCTGGTTCTGGAATCTGACTTTTTGTATTCTGGTTGTGGAATCTGACACTCTGGACACTGGTTCTGGAATCAGACACGAATCAGACGCTCTGGACAGTGGCTCTAGAATCAGACGCTCTGGACACTGGCTCTAGAATCAGACGATCTGGACACTGGTCCTGTGATCAGACGCTCTATTCATCAGTTCTCCAATCAGACGCTCTTTATACTGTTCTGGAAGCAGACGCTCTGGACACTGGTTCTAGAATCAGACACGAATCAGACGCTCTGGACACTGGTTCTAGAATCAGAAGCTCTGGACACTGGTCCTGTGATCAGATGCTCTATTCAACAGTTCTCCAATCAGACGCTCTTTATACTGTTCTGGAATCAGACGCTCTGGACACTGGTCCTGGGATCAGACACGAATCAGATGCTCTGGACTCTGGTCCTGGGATCAGACACGAATCAGATGCTCTGGACTCTGGTCCTGGGATCAGACACTCTGGGCTGCTGTTCTCTGTGTTTATTGTGTGTGTTTGTGTCTCAGGGACATAAATGGCTTCGTGGTGTGGTGTTTAAAGGGCCAGTTCTCCACTCCAGCGCCTCAGGCCAAGCCTCGCCGTGTCAGTCTGGACATGCGCAGTCTCTCGCTGGAAGGAGCCGGACCCCCGCAGCCTCTCAGACCCAGGTACCCCCATACAGCCGTCAATGTGGAGAACATCAGCATTGGGATTCACAATGACGCGAGATTCTCGCTCCAGTGTCTGGATGATTTGACTGCTAAATTAGACAGAGGCAAATCAGCTGGTTGACGCTGGAGTATCTGCACAGGCAGAAACATCTATTCAGAGTAAAGTATTTGATTAGGGTCACATTTTCTTGATCTCCATCACTGGATTCACAGCTTTAAAACATCTTTAGTGGTTCAGTGTTGGTTTTAAAGTGCAGTCATGTAGCCTAATGCTGTAGGTCACAAAACTGGAAGCTGTATGGTGTTTAGGGTGGTCGCTAGGGCATTGCTATGTGGTTTCTAGGCTGTTCTGACTGTCTGTTTCTACAGCAATCCTCCTGATGTCCCACCAAATGTCAGCTGTCGGCGCAGTAAGCTTGATACGAACAACCTGGTGGAGGGTGTGAATGACAGCGGTAACCATAGCAACATCCACAGTATCACAGGTACAGCAACAGACAAACCAATCACATCATCCTGTAATATAACAGAGACACACACATATCATCATATACATCATGCATTTATCAATCATATCACGTGTGATGTGAGTAAAATCGTGTGGATGTGTCATGTGACTCACTCTCGTTTATGTTTGTTCTTAGGAATGGATGGAGTTCCTTTCTCTCTACACCCGAAGTTTGAGTCTCAGTCAGACACAAAGGTCAGAGGTCACTGCATCACTCATTAACATGTGGATATATGTAAGAAATCACATGCATCCATCTGGTCAGTATGGCTCGGTAAAGCCTGACAGGGCTTTTGTTGACTTATTGACTTGAGTGAAGATAATTTTATTGTGAAATGAGAGAATTTTGCTTGAGAGATCTTAAAAAAACGATGCATGTACAAAAGCCTTTGACCACAGAATGCTGTCATGAACCCATCACTATCAAGTGTTCAATCACAGTGACCAATAACACACCTGCTGTTGTGTGTGTCAGGTGTCTGCGAGCGCACTGAGTGACATCCGTATCAAATCAGTGCAGGACATTGAGAACGAGGTGAGGTGATCTGCATCTGTTATAATTACGATTATAGGAAATCATTGTCATTCTAAGATGCAGACACATCAGATTTTTTCTTATTGTTCTGGAGGACTTTTATTTTGAATCTGCCTTTCTTTGAGGTGATTATTTGTTCATTGCTGTGTAGTTCAGCAGATTGTAATGACAGATTGTTTCTCCGCAGTATAAATACACGTTTGCGGTGGAGGAACAGGCAGCGAAGAGACTCTGTCCGTCAGTGTGCGGCTGAAATCATTCCTCTCGGCTCTGGACGATGAAGTCACACAAATCTTTCTGGTTTTATAATCACGTATGTTTAAGTTAGACCCAAACACACAGTGCTGGTTTTGCAGGACTGGTTCTGGTTGGTCTCATTCTCTCTCTTTTCTTCTCTGGGTTGGTTGAACGTGAAGGACTTTCTGCATCCAAACACATTATGTACGCGTGTTTCTACGAAACACTAACAGGCGAGACAAAGTGCCTTATATGTGCATTATATGCCATTTTATAAGGCCAAAATATTTTATGTATCTGTTCTGGGGTTTTGAGCTACAGTTTAATATTTAAAAAGTGTGGTTACACTAATATTCTTTATTTATCTTTAAAAAAAAAAAGTACGTTTCAGAAATGTGGGGACCAAAAAATTATGTGTTTTTCTTGTATTCTCTGAATTGCTCTTTTATCTGTTTAAATATTCTTAAAACTATTGGATAATGTCATACTCTACGGAGCTCTGCGAGTTACTCTTTGAAAACAGTTGTACTTGCTTTGTTAAAATCTGTATTTTGTGGAATTTTAATAAAAATGATCAGATCTTGACTGAATTTATTTGCAGATTACTCAAAGGAAGTTACATTTTAACCAGAGCCATTTTCTGTAAAATTCCACATGTAGCCCTAAAGCGTTTTATAGGAATGATTTTTGTTTTACTTTTTTATGTCTACATAAATGCCTTATTTCAGGATCATAAACAAAACCACTGACGGACTGTTAGTAAGTGCTGTAAACTCAACAGTTTTATCCCAGACACGCTTTTGTTTTGGAATAGTTTACGGAAATAGCGTTCTTCCGGCCGTCGCTCATTGGGTCGCTCAAACGTCAATCATTTGGCCACACCCTTTTGTGGGCGGAGTCAGAGTGGCCTGAGTGCTTCACACACAATCACAGACACACCGCTGCAGGATGGATCGAGGATATTCTTCAGGTCAGCGTTTTAATGTTTACTTATTTTATGTAAGAGTCTTGTTTGTATGCTGGGGTCGTGTTTTATTCTGTTTTTAAGGCCTGTACGGTAGCGCAGTTCGTGTTTCGCTCTTGTGTGTACGTGCATGAAATGGCGCAGGTCAAAATAAGGCGTCGAAGCGCTGTTTAAAACATTAAAACAGAGTTTATCAGTAAGTTAGGCCCCTCTAGTAGACGTATTTTAATTTGGTTTTTAATCAACAGCATATCAAACTAATAATCTCTGTTGGTTTCTGCTTTGAGTGAGTTAGGCGAGCTGCGAGTGCTGCGATCAGTCGCTTCTCATCACATCTTCATATAATGGGCGCTTAATGTAGGAGTGCGTGAAATGGAGGCGTTGTGTTGTAAAATGGCTGCCGCGTCGATTCTGCGGCTCTATTGTTCGATTAATCGCCTCGAGTGACTGACCTGTAATGTTACTGCTGATTGTTTTGATATCAGTTAAAGCACAGCCTTTATAATTAATTAACTGTACTGACATCTCACATGCTATTGTAGTTTTGTGGCTATTAGTTCATCGCTCTTTCTCTTTCAGTAAAACAAACTTGATTATTTTTGACTTCGAGTCTGTAGGCCCAGATATAGATTTCTGTCCAATCAGATGTCGTTTTGAGTGTGAAAGCCCCGCCCTCTAAGACCACCTGACTCTGAGCAGCCAGTAATAAGCCAGCCTGAAATACAGTTTGAAAGATCTCCGTTTAAAACCTTTAGATACAAGGGTTTTTTATTTTCTTGAGTGTTATATTTGATGCGTCAGGCTTTTATGGCGGAAAATATGGAGGAAAAAAACAGCGCAGTTTTATTCAGAGACTTAGGTGCAGATGCTGATATTTTAATGATGAAATTCTGCTGCTTGTAATGGAAATTAATGAGATCTTTATAACAATGAAGCAGATACTGATCTAAATATCAGTCGTGGCTCTATATCTCCAGTAATAATAAGATGAGATTGAAATGCTCCAAACATATAATGCAGTGATTGAGAGCTGAAGAAATAAAGGCTCCTCAGAAGATGTGAGATGTTCTGGAGGCTTGTGAAGATCATTCCTCCGCTGAGGAACAGTGAAAGTAAAGCTTCTGGAAACAAACGCTCCTCAAAAGATCCTGAGGATCAGATTTGAGACTCTAAAACATGATTGATGGAGAATCAAGTAAAGCTGAGCTGCTTCAGTCCAGTAAGTGTTCATCTGGAGATATTACTGCAGTTATTCTGACCTTTACTTGATCAAAATCAGTCAAGATTTGACACGAGAAGCTCCAGCTGAAGCTGGACGTTTGTACAATTACACTAAAAGAGCTTCGACTGGATAAAAACATCTATCAATCAGAGACAGAAGACTTGCAGTAGATGGAGTGTGAAACAGGTTTTGGTCATTTAGAGACCGTAGATACTCCTGGATCAAATCTGACGTCCAGAACGAGCTGTAATTTCTCTCTGACGTGTTCTCGACTGGTTTCAGGGTTCTCTGGCTGGGGAGGATCGGGTGGAGGAGGATCGTCCAGAGGTGAGTCTGTGGCCGTGTTCAGCTCCGTCATCATTCACATGTTGGTCCAGCAGATAATCAGCTGCTCTGTTACGGCTCAGGCTCGGGCGGTTACGACCTGTACGGGTATAAGGACTCCATGTCCAGCAGCGGAGGGTTCGGAGGAGGCGGGTACGGATCCAGCGATCGGATGAAGAGAGGACTCTCTGGGGGATCTCTGCTGTCCTCCAGCGGCTCCAACGCAGACGACGTCATCGCCAAGATCAACCAGCGGCTGGACATGCTGACGCAGCTGGAGGGAGGCATGAAGAGCGGCGCTCGCGGAGACAGGTGACGCAGCACACACACCTGAAACCAGACGCTTCTGCAGGCCCTGTCTCTGTAACCAGACGGGAATGTATTAAAACACCAGGTGTTGTGCATAAGAGAGGAATTAATCGCAGTTTATATTTATGGCGTTAAATGCATGTCATGCCTCTTTTCGCACTAATTTCTTTGGGAGGAAACAGAAAATATGGCAAAGGAAATATTGTTTGTCTTTTTTTTTTTTTTTTGACTGCATACATGTGAATTTAAATATGTATCATATACACATCCAGCCTTTAAAAAAAAAAGTCCATATCAACATGATTCGTCTGATATTTTGTCACATCTAGCACTAGTTTGTTTGCTAATTGAGGGTAAAAACATTATAACTGGAAGATTCGTCAGCTCGGCTTTAGTTTATGTCGGTCTGCTGATGTTATCTCTCTCCTCATTCGCAGCAGTAACTGCTTTAAGTTTATGGTTTTACTATCTCCTAGATCTCCTTAGTTTGTCCCTGCAGCACAAGTACACTTAAGATGGCGTCTTACAGACGGGTAGACGCCGTTATGCAGTTTTTGGTGTATGCAAACAAGGCTGTGATGGATAGACAGTCAGTCTGTTGTGTGGGGGTTGTACCGTCACATTGTGTCACCTGAAATTGTTTTGAAAAGACATTTTGAATGTTGCATCAGACTACTGTTCAAAAGTTTCCAAATAAATTAATAGATTTATTCATCAAGGGCGGGTTAAATTGATCAGAAGTGACAGTAAAGACATTTATAACATAACAAAAGCTAAATGAGTTCTTTTGAACAAAGAATCCTGAAAAATAAAATGGATCAGTTTCCACAAAAATATTGTGCAGCACAACGGTTTTCAACTTTGATAATAATCAGAAATGTTTCTCGAGCTGCAAATCAGCATATTAGAATGATTTCTGAAGATCATGTGACACTGAAGACTGGAGTAATGATGCTGAAAATACAGCTGCGCATCACAGAAATACATTACAGTTTAACAGAGATTCACATAGAAAACAGCGGTTTTACATTCTAATGATATTTCACTATTTTTACTGTATCTTTTGATCAAATAATACAGTCTCGGTCATGTACGTGTTTCACTCACAGCCTTGTTTCCATTTGGTAAATATGGTTTCTACCGGGACTAAGTTGCGGTTATTTGCTTTCGAGGGTTATGCTCCGTTCTTGTAGCTGGAACAACTAAAGCAGTGGTGTTTGTGTTAGTACATAGATTCAGTGAATGCTTCCTGACCATTTGAACACACACAAACACGCTCACACACTCCGTTTGGTCCTGATCCTCAGACGGCGGCCCCATCAGATCTGACTCTACGCTCACAGATAATGCTAACGCTGCCCTCACAGACCCCAGAAGGGCCCCGTATCTCACTGTTTCCACCTCAGTCCTGTGAAATATGTGCAGTGTTGTTGCCTTATATGTCCATCTGTGCAACTGTCATTCTGAAGCTTTTCCACAGCCAGTCTCTTCCCACAATGCACCTGAGCAACGGGGCTGTGGAAGGGCTTGAACGAATGAGCGCTGAATGATGAGTTTGTTTATCATCTGAGTCGACGATGACCGAAGTGCCGGCTTGACCTTTGCTCTGCGCCTCCCTCCCTCTGCAGGTTTGCCCAATACGAGTCTTTCGACTCGCGCTCCACCTCCCTCGGCCCCCGAGATCTCTACAGATCCGGTAGCTTTGGTTTCAGCGACTCCCGGGGCGACATGATGGCCCAGCGCGGAGGCGTGGGCTTTGGGGTCATGGGCGGAGCCGGCGGGGGCGGCTTTGATGGCTCCGCCTTCGGATCTGCCAAAATGCGGCTGACTCGAGACTCCGCCTTCTCGGGCTCCGGCTGGGGGGCGGAGCAGAGATCCCCGCGCAGGAACCGATCGGCTGGGGGGCGTGGCTTCGGCCGCAGGCAGGACTCCTCCTCCTCCGCCGCTGGCATGGGGGGAGGAAGTGGGCGGGGCGGAGGCCACCAAGGCCACTCCCCCGCGGGGCGAGGAAAGCTGCCCTCGCTCCTGGCCAATCGCATGTACCCCGACAGCGGGGCCTTCCAGTCTCAGCGCGGGCCCCAGGACTTCCCTGCACGGAACTTCGGAGGGGGCCCGAGGGCCAACCGGCAGCTCGGCCGCAAGAGACCCCAGAACCGAGTAAGTACCGTCTGCTCCCTGCAGGGGGCGGGGCTGAGAGATCAGCGCTCACCCCTGCACATAGGGTCCAGTCAGGCGCATTCATTCCACCAACCCTCAAGGAGAGGCTACCCCAGTCTGACCCCCATTTGAGCAGTTAGTCACTGACAAACACCAAGGGGGTAGCTGTGTAAAGTGTCACACAGTCAGGATAGCTCAGCTAACACTGTAAATCCTCCCATCATTGACTCTGACCCTCACGAC